CCACAGCTCATCTGTAACATGTCTGTACCACAGCTCATCTGTAACATGTCTGTCCTACAGCTCATCTGTAAAATTTGTGTAAAACAGCTCATCTGTAACAGAGCAACCATCTGTTCCCTGGGGTCAAGGTTACCTTCCATCACTTTTTCCTGAAGTCTCTGAAATATTAACAACAACAAAAAAAAGAGGAAAAGAGTTTTACATGAGTCAAGGGAAACGCTAAAGACATCTGTGAAACGAGGCTGTTTCCTGTTTCCTGTTATCTCCATTGTCACTGAAGAGGAAAAAAAAAAAAACGTTTAACTGCTTTACAGTTCACAAACCACAAGAATAAAAATATAGTTTTTAATCCCAGGGTTTTTCCAAAAAACTCAGGGTCGGAAATTCAAATGAGGGTCGCCCTAAATGTCTAGTAATTAATAAATAAATATATAATATATATTACATATAAGTATTTAAATATACAATAAATATGTGTATATATATATATATTTTTTAATTTATTTATTACCTTTATTGAATTTTCTTCTTCTATCAATGTCCAATGATAATAATGAAACATAAAAATACCAAAAATGGCCAAAATGACACAACAAAGACATTCTATAAAACAGACAAATTATCTGCACCTACCAATGTGTGTAAAACAGTTCATCTGTAACATGTCTGTAGCAGAACACATCTGTGAGATTTGGACTACATATATTACCTTCAGACCAGAGTTTTTGCGCATCCGCAGCCGTCCCATCCACATGTCAGTCAGCAGCATCTGACTGCAGGTGTGAGCGATGAAATCTCTGTGTTTAGCTGCCACCGCCAGCTGCAGACAGGTGGCGTTGCTCCAGTTTTTCAGCTCATAAGTCAGCAACTTCATGGCCATCTGCTCGTCCTGTTTGTAGGACTGGTCGAGGAGTTCCACTGCCAGCTGCGCAAACTCTCTGACAGATGATACAGTAGGCAAGGGCACAGGATCAGACATAGTCATAAAGAGTTTTGATCACAGGCAATTCATTAAAAATGGTCAAACACTAGACTTTTGGTCAAACTCAGAGAACAAAAGATGCTTATATAACAACTGAACAACATTACACAGTTTGGCAGGTCTTTAAAAGTAAAACATTATTTATTTTCTTTAAGGTCATTAAACATAACAATTGAATACAATAAATGCAAAGAATTACATATATGTGTGCATATACATAATTGTATTTATAATTATTTACAATTGTATATAATTATATACAGGTATACACCCACATATCTATAATTATATATAATAATATATACATATATACACATTTATATATATATGACTAAAACATATTAGTAACTCATGTATTTTTATTTGTGTTATTTTACTTTTTTTGCAGGAGTTTGCAGGATTGATCAAACATGGGCTCCTCCAAGTGGCACAAAGACATAATATATGTACAGTAATGGCATATTGAAGTAAAGCTTTTGTTTCTTTTATAAAATGAAAATATATTTCTATCAGTGTACCTACTCCATACTTGTGTTTTACAATACAAAATATTGTGCATCAAATATGAAATCAAATCTGTTTTTGAGCCACAGTAACAAATTATGTTGTAAAAACCACTGCATAGCAGTTGGTCAAACTAGCTGCACTGCACCAGAGATTAGTGCAGAGACTGCAGAGAAAATTACAGGCTATTCACTGCCCTCCCTGGAGGACATTGTTCACACTACCTTTACATTGCAGGCAACATCATCAAAATGTCCAACCACCTGAATCAGTATTGCTCTGAACTGCTGTCCTGTGCCAGGTGTTACAAATTAGCCAAGACCAGCAGCTCAAGAAGTGATTTGCACATTAAATGAGATAAAGAAACAAGCGTGTCAAACCAAGTTGCTGCTACAGCGTTCTTTAGTTAAACAAAGTTTACAGGCTAAAATCGAAGCCAGGATTTTTTCCATTTTCTTCTTTGTTTAGTTAGTGCTGAACTACTTTTCTAGGTTGGATGTGTGTACCCTTGGAACATACTGAAAACACTACAAGGATACCAGCTGCTTAAACCGAAAAGAAGAAATCTGGAATCAGCTTCAAGGATGAGACTGTATAGTGTTGTTAAAGTTGGGTGGCCAGGTCCTAATCAATAAAATGAGGGACAATATGGGACGTTATGAGGTCACAGAGTGACAGAAATGATTGATTTGCCACATATGGTGGGAAATTACTAGTCTTGGAATCCAAACAAGACTGCCTTTTATTTATTTATTATTATATTTTTTTTTCCAATTGCAAATATAAAACAATACTATAATTGCTAATAATTTTCATGGAGTAGGGCCTTTAAAAATTGTATGCAGCACCTCCTGCTGGAATAGAATGGTAAGCAATCATAAACAAGAAGTGTTTGCATGTTCTATCTGACCCTAAACAGTTATCTACCATCACACATTTATACAACCCTGACTTCCTCTGTGATTATTAGCGCCATTAAACCATCCAGACATCAACAAGTTTACGTCACTGATATAGTGGCAGATATACTTGCAGATATATCCATCAATACCCTTAAATAAACTGGACTCCCATTAGTCCAGCATATTTGAATGGGTAAATAGGGCAGAACTTTTCTAATGACCAGTCTCTTACGTTTTATGTTATTTCTCCCTTGTAATACTCAAAAAATGTGTTGCTGAATATTCTCTCATGTATTATGAACAACATCAATAATAACAAATGAGCCTGCAGTTACACACACGTGTGTGCTCGCTGTGTGCTCTGGTTTCACATCACTTGTTGGACATGACTTTTTTTTGCCCTAATTAGCAGTTATTCCTATCGTCAGCAGTTTCCTCACTAGGTGACTACCTTTATCACAAATGCAGTTGCCTAACTAATGATGGTGTATGTTATTAGGCGTCTGCATGTATGTCACGTTCACCCTGTGAGAGCCTTCAGTCATTAAAAACAGGTCAACTTAGAGGGAAAAAAAGCCACATTAGTGTGTTTTTGCAAGAGCATCAGCTGGAGTTAGGAAAGTACATTTTCTGTCAGTTATAGTGAGGGTACCAAACAGTTTAGAGGAGCAAATGAAAGCATTTAAATTACTTAGGACAATGGACAATGTAAATGTTTTCATTCTACAAGTAATAAATTACATACCCTACTCTGTTAGAAAAAAGCTTTAAACAAACATTGGCTATGAAGATAACGATAAACAAACCTGGAGTTGTGGTTTAGTTCCTGGGAGATATCATCCACCATATCGTTCTCAGATGCTTCGTGAGCCATGGCCTTACAAAGCTTACAGGCTACCAGAGCCTTGGCCATGGCCTCCTCGCCGTGCTGCCAAAAGAACAGCGCCATCTTTTGACGTTTCATCAGCACAGCCCACACCATCAGCTCGTGGAAAGGGAAAGGAAAGTGGTTGATTTCTGGATCGTCCAAATCAATGTCCACTTCTTCTTCTCGTTTCCTTGTGGTCTTCTGGCGGCCTCTGCGTATGGGCATGTCATCCTGGTGGAGATCAAATACAGTAGTATGTCTCGTAGTGCACTAATCCAGTGGGGTTTTTTAAATATTTTTTAAGAACAACACATATTTGACATTGGAAAAATCCCACAGCAAACAATCAAACAAAATTGACACAAAACATACATGTAATGCAAAATAGTGACCATTCTAGTTATTAACTCACAATTGAATTACTCAGTATTAAACCCTATTCTGTATAACTGAACACACCCTGATATACTTGCAGGAGTTGAAGAAAGACACACAAAGATCTTTAACAGCAATGAGTGTAATTCTTTTTTCTTTTAGTTTTTTATAGCCTTATAATGAAGGACCAACTAAATGCTCTGCCAGTCACTGATGACTAAATGAACAAAGACAAATTAATATTTTGAGTCAAATTAGAGAATTTAGATAATATTCCATGGCACACTAGTGGTTAGTTAATTTGAAAGACCTCTGTTCTGAATGGAGTTAGAGCCTTAACATTTCTTTTGAGATACTGAAATATTTAAACAGCTGATTTTGCCTGAAATCACTCAAACTGTTAAGATCATTTCTGGCTTAGTGTCCGGAAAAGAAATCACACAGCTACTGATCCAGCAAATAATTCAGAGTGTGATATCGATTGAGCTAGCAATTTATTAAAGTCTGGGTTTATGGCATATATGAACATTTAGAAATGATTGATGCCCGTCAGTCGCCCACACCTGAAATCCAGGCTTACAGCTAAATGTTGTTAAGTGGCCTTGACACAAAATTGTTTTTAAAAAACACTCTTTACAATAAAGCAAATGTTCAGAGAAAATAATTAGATTATTTTTCCAACAAGCAGAAACACAGAGAGAAAACACAGTGAGGGAGGTTTCAAACAGGAAAGAAACAGAGCATCACAGAGGTTGCATAAAAAATCTGAGAAACTGAAGACACATGCTGTGATAAAAGCTTGTGTGTAAAAACATAATAGTGTGTAAATCACAGGAACACCTTCTGTAAACACAAACACACACAAACACACACAAACACACACGCACACACGGAGTGTGTTGTGTGATCCTGTCATAATATTCATTACCCATTCTGTCTGCTGTGACTGATCTGCTCGTGCTGTACATCTGTCACAGAAGAACTCTAAATCAAAAACATCTAAACTCTCTAGGAAAAGTTTGGGAAGTATTTTTCAAAGTGGCCATGCATTTTCACACACTGCTGTGGTCTACAGAGGGAAACTGTTTCACTTTTCATATTAAAACTCAAGTTTAATTAATTCTGGAGATTAATCCAAGTTTGTTTTGGAGAATGATGTGTACTATATATCCCACAATTCCTCTTGCCTTTTTTTCATATTAATCATTCCATCATTTAGTTTATTTATTATCTGGTTTTCTGTTCCAAAAATAAACCACAGAAAAAGGTTTTAGTTACAACATGATTAATCATGATTACAGCTACACTGTGATTAATCTAAAATAAAATAATTACAAACTAGTAAAAGGCATTTCTTAAAACTAGAGTAATTGCCAAACAGAAGTGAATGATGGATATTTTTTATATTTTGTATTATAATTTTTTTATTATCATAAACTCCCTAAACAAAAACTGCCATGTTGCAAACTACATAAAAATATTTTGAAATACTTAATACATAAAAAAAGTCTGCTGACCGACTTCTCAACATGGGGAATAGGAGGAGGGAAAAGACTTGAAAAGACTGAGATGAGTGAGAAAAAAAAGAGTGAAAAACAAACCAACCAAACAAAAAAAACAAGATGAGACGAGATCAGCACTCACCTCCATCCCCAGGAGTTTCAGAGCTTTGGGCTGGGAACGCAACAAAAACATGAACAAACAGCATAAGACTGTATGGAAGTGTGAAAGAGCCAAGACCAACCTACATAAAAACAAATAAATTATTGTTTCAGAAAACTCACATGAGGTGGTGTAAAAAAAAAAAAACTAATTTAAAATTGTACAAATCCATGTGTTTAGCATATCGTGAAACACGTGCACACATCAAGCCTAATGCAAATGTGCTCTTTACACATTACCATGTGTCTGTATAACAAGACATGTTACGCATTCATGAGCCGTCAACTGTGTTGTTAAAAATAGCCCTGGTCTCCTATTGGGATGTTTGATATCGGCATCTTTCTCACGTGTCTTGATTATCGTTTGAGTAGTGTGTGTGCATCATGCACACAGAAAATGTGTAGAGAATCACAGAATATATTCTTGTATTATTTTGTATCTGTTCAGTTTCCTGCCAGTTTCACTTTATTATCTTTTATCCCACTTAAATATTGCAACCCTGGTAGACGTTCACTCAGATAAAAATGCACATGAAACTAACACACATCATCTCAAACATTAAACATCAATTGTGCAGCACTGTGCACAAATATAATGTTGGATGTGGAGGCAGAAAGAAGATGTCTACAGTAGTTTGTGCCCTGAACTCTGTGTTCAAGCTAAGATATAATATAATACAGTGGTACCCAACCTTTCTTGGCGTGTGACCTAATTTTTGCATCACACATTTCTGGCCACCCCAGGGAAATATTTTTTCCTTCCAGAATAAATTTCTGATCATGTTTGCTATGCTTTGTTTCAAAAAGAGTGCAAATGTACATTTGAAAAAAATAATACTTCAAAAAATATGTTTAATAGTAATTTTTTTCTTTATCAATTAATAAACATTTCAGGTGATCCCATTTGAAACATGGGGTTGCGACCCCAAAGTTTAAAAACACAGATATAATGCATTACACTATATAATTGACCATTGAAGCCCTAATAATATTTTTATTAATGTAAACAACTATAACTTAGATAATGAAAATGGGAAAACAATTAAATATTTCTGTGAACAACACTATCTACTGTATACATCTTGATATTTCTGTAATTTGAGTTAGAGGTGAATATTTAAAAACCGTGTGATTTAAATTGTCCATTTTACAACAATGAAAAGAGAATCAAGATAACAGCTTGAGTACCGGCCTTAAGAAACGTAATGTGTTTTTAGAATTGATGTCGCCCTAGTGGAAAATAGAAACAAAAAGTGACAATAACTCTGATAAAAATTGATGCCAAAAGCAAGTAAAGGGTGGGAGGAAAAGAAAGAGGAAAGATCAGCCTAATGAATTTGACTTGATAGAGTAGATATAACATCAGGATGTGTATGTTCGTTCACCTTAACGTTAACCCTTTTTTTGTTTTATAATGTCTCATATTTAGTAACAACATCATTTGGGCAGTTTAAAAAGATTAAAAGTAAAACTCTCATGTTTGACCTCTGATTGTTAGAAGTGACACAACGGCAAAAGCTAAAAACCACAGAACGGAAATTATTCTGTTCTAATTCTTTATCCATCATATTGACAATATGATCATTGCACAAAAAATTATATGACATCACAAAAACAGCTAAGAATCATTCACTTACCCTTTTAGGCCCAAACAGATTATGATACAAAGTTCTAAATCTTTTCCTGGTGTAGTTACATCGATATGCCCCGCCCATGAGGTATTCAATGACCAATCCAATGTCGATGAGACTAATGCGATAGTCAGGAGGCAGGTTTCCCTGGAAAAACCAGACAATGTTTACAGAAAACAACAAGAGCTGTGAAACATATGAAGGTAAAAAGAAAATGAGGGAATCATCTGAACAATCAGACATATTCAAACTATAAAATCCATGTCAAACTTTTTTTGGCTATGAAAAAAAAAAACGTGATCATCGGATTCACCTTGAAGTAGATCCAACTGAACCCTGGATATTCTCGCTTGGAAAAAACACACAGTGTCAGTGAGAAAACCGCACGATAAGCAAAAGCAAAGGAAAACGAGACACACTGAAAAAAGCAAACTCTCTCTTCCAGCTTCTTTGATTTATTTTTTCAACAAATCTGACTTTTTGAGTCACTTCTTTGTTATCATACCTTAAAACTTTCGGATTTAAAAAAATCTGATGAGGTGGGATCAACTGAGAGAACATATTGGCCAAGGACAATAAAAAATGCATGTAAGATGCGTTATATTTTCACTGAGACGTAATGAGATCTACTCAGTAAGGATAGAGGCCGTCTTGAAGACGGGAAAAGAGAGTGAAGGCACTAATGAGTCATTAGCATAAAGGAGAGAGGCAACAGCATGTAGAGACAGGGACAGGCAGCTATTACTGCTAGAGGGAGAGTCTTTAATGGAATGAAAAGTCATTCCTGGGAAGACGGTAACCACATCAACTCCGTATTCCTTCTGATATCCTCATCATCAGATATTATCCTGACCATCAGTGTTGCTTTCAACTGACTTACCTCTCGTCTACTTCATTTTAACCCTTGTGGGTCTAGGTGAACCCCCGGGTCACCTAGATCCAATATGTCTTTGTGTCTGTGTGTGTGTCTGTGTGCGTGTGCATGTTCCTGTACTGCATGACTTGTGCCAACTTTTCCTCATATTCATTAATACTCATATTCTGGGACAAGATGAAAATCATTGCAAGGACAAACAGTGTGTACAAAGGGTTACATATATTTCTACAATCTTGTGAAATCACACCAAAGAGTCTGACACTCTTTAGCCTGACTTTATCTCTAAGGAAAATTTCCTCTACGACTGAAACCTCCGTTCTTAATTCTCGTGGCAAAAAATCTGAATCCTGAGTCTATAAAATGTTTTTTTCTGGAAAACACCTTTCCTGCCTTTATGTATGGCTACAGCAACATAAACAATGGATTGATAAGATCCTGTTCCTTAACTTATGAATAACATCTAACAACTGTATAAAATATTGTAAAAGTTAGTGTCATACTTACAGGGTCAGACACCTGCATTTTCTCACAAACAATCCTGCATTTTTGTCTTGTTTCTACCCTTTTGACTTGGAAGTATTTCAACTCAATTTTCAAAATGAACTGTTTGTCCTGTAGCTGCTCGCTTCATATTTTTACTAATGTCTTTGGTTCCATAGCTCAAAGCTGTTGCTGTGACAACGAGACATCAAAGAAGCCACTGCAGTTTCCCTGTGTTGAAATCCTACAGCTTCTTTACATTATTTAGTTTTGTCCTTTCAAAAATCCATGAATCTTCAAAAATTACTGAATGTCATCTTATCCCTCCACAGTGACTACTTTGCACAGCAGTACAGAAATTAGATTTGTTTTGGAAACACATGGTTATTATGTGTACATATATATATGTTTTATCTGGGACAAGTAAAGTTGGTCTTGATAATTGTAATGCCCATTCCTTTTGAGGGACATCTCTAACTACATAAAATATATTTTGGAAATATATACAGAACATTACATAGAAATAAAACAAATTAAAAACAACATGTCTTCTACAGACACAGTTCTGTATACAGTGCGGAGAATTCTGAGAAATTTTTCTTTGTAGTCTTTCAAATGGTCTCTCCACTACAACACTTAGGGGTTAATAATGACCCCTTTAAATGGCTGTCACCAGGTAGATTAAACAAATTTCATCAGAGGTTACATTAAATATGTCAGTGTTCAGCCTCATCTATACTGATCCTGAATGGTTCTCAAAAAACACTGGTTTATAAAGTGTATTTCTTTTGGTATCTTTTGAAAAATAACATAATTGTAACCTAAATAACCTAATCCAATCCTATTCAGTTGAATCCAAGGTAATATGATTTAGTCTGATCTAATTTAGTTTGGTCTTTACTAATCCAATCCAATTTAATCCAGTCCAGTCCAGTCCAGTCATGTCCAATCCTATCCAACCAATCCAATCTAATCTAATGGCCTCTCAAGCTTACAATGTACTTTAAACGTGTCACCTGACAGACTGCATACAAATCACTTGTTTTCCTTCTTGACTACGCTCAACCCTCATACGGTATCACTTTAAACCTTTAGCCACCACAACAGCATCATACACTCATTGTGCCATAAATTTAATTTCTGTGTTGGCACCTGCAGGCTGTGTTTTCAGTCTCAGCTTTCACACAGTCTAATGAAGGCAGCAGATTAAACCCTGCGAGCAACCTTCATCCACACTCACAGCTGTTATTAGAACCAACACCGGCACCTGAGTCAAAAGACAGACTGTCTGTCACTGCCAGAGCATCCTGACCGTAAGCAGGGAACAAGAGAAAACATACTTATACTTTAATACAACAACCACACAAAGATTAAGCTACGCTATGACACTTTACAGTGTGACAGTTTACACACAGCTCTGCCATAGGAGGATGACAAACTACAGCCATGCACTAGTGTCTGCTGTGTTTGTGACGCAGCAAGGTTGTATATGTATCTCTAATCTGCACCAGTCTCAGGTCAGGCAGGTGTTTTAAGAAAGAGATAAGTTAAGTGAAGTTCTGATTACAATGCACTCGGCCTCCCTAGTCATTTAAATGAGTTGGATTAAGGCCTTACTCTCATCAGTAGCAATTTTATTAATGAACAGCCTTTAGTTTTAACAGCGGTGTTGCTGACCTCTCCATCATTTCCCAACAGTGGGATCACTGTTAATTGATGTGGAGACACGTTGTGAATGTTAATAGACCACAACCACCAATATACTGAAGAGTGCAGCAAATATAAATACATGATGAACGATGTGCGATGATTTTTTTAAGCAACTTAACATGAAATAAACACATTTTCTGGTTCTAGAAGCATCTGGATATCAGCACCACAGAGGCCACACGTGTGTGTGTCATTTCTTATAAACCCATGTCTAGAATAGTAAGGAAACATATGAAAGGCAGAGAATCTGTGAAAATTAAAAGACATAGCTTTCTAATAACTTAATAGATTTTATTGACAACTCTGTTGTTTGAAAAAAATAAATACATAAAGTAATTGATAAATGTAACACACTAAAGACATTTTTACCAACCCCAGTCTGGGATATTCATTAAGATAACAGGTTTGGAAATTAGGGATATTGCAGGCAGGTGGTTTGTCATTATCAACTTTGAAAACAAGTATTTTCAACCTGTCAGTATTTACAGTTAGAGTATGATATTAAAAAACTATGTTTAAAGACCAAGGATGGAAACTGCTTCAGAATATGAGCTTTCATTGACTGAACACAGTCTGCTGCTGTGTGCTCCACTGGCCTGCCTGCAGTACAGATCCATATTCAATGTATCTTGAAGATACACAGAATGTGACCCAGCTGTAAACCTGTCTTTGTCCAAACGTTGCATCCTACTTTTCTGAAAATGGGCTATTTATTCTTTGACCCTAATTTTCTAGCCATGAAGTTTTATGGAGTCAAAAACGTCATATAAATATTATGCTTTGTTCCCACCTGTGGTGATGTATGTGATTGAAAGAGAAACAGATTGGTGAGTAGTTATGGGAGAGATGAGAGTCGTGCATAGCTCTATAACAGATGCCGCAGCCCGCTACTCCAGCTGCAAGGGAAAAGCTAGCCTCTATTTGCACTTAATAGCAAACTAGTGTTGCTACCAAAATGTAAACAAAAAAACGATCAGAGGAACAACATGAGGACCACACACTGCAAAAAGCAACTGAAACTCTATGTAGTCACATGTTTCTTTAATATACACATTTAAGCCAACATTCTGGTAGAGAGATGAAGGAATGACAGTAATGATCTTACCTTTTTTACATCTCTGACGAGGTGGTAGAGTGTGTTGGATGGTCCGTGTCTCTGTTGGAACGACAGAACAAACACAGCATATGGAAGGAAATGTTAATCATCAGTGGCTGATTTCTATCAAAGAGAAACTAAATGGAGCCACATAAATTTGTGCTCAGAAAATGAAATGCTCCGTTCCTCAAACAGATGTTTTTGCAGTGCAGCTCTTAATACCGTGTTGTAAAGCTCCTCCAGTCTGGACAACGTGAGGAAACGATGCATGCTAACTCCATTTTCTATCAGAAGCTTCACAAAGTCCACTCTGTCCAGAACCAGGGCGTCCAACATTGCCTGTTCCAATGAACCAACCTAGAATACAGAGCAGGTAGCTTAATAAAATATATATTGAATAATTTTTATTCTTAAAATATTTATTATGAATAAAATATAGTAGAAGTACTTCTTATGCAATGTGTCATTTTTTGTTTTAAAACAGGAAAGCAGTTCTCACAGGCCACTGCTGTCCATAGATGAAGATCTGACTTCGAGCGATGTCCACTCTGTTCCAGGCCAGAGCTAAACTCAACTGATCAGGAGCAGAAGCGTTGGCACCTGAGAGGAAGTGTGGAGAGGAACAGGTTAAAAAAAAGAGCTACTTAAAAAAAAAAAGAAAACACATTTTGTGAAACCATAAAACCGTAGATAAAGACGTGATAAAGATAGAGACGTGGCAAGGGAAAAAAAATGAAAGAAGTAAAGAAAAAGTATGAAGACCGTAGAGTAGAAAAGAAAAGAAAAGTTCGGTATTCGTCGAGTCTTTGCAACCCACAAAGGCTGCCACAGGGGGCACCATTAAATATGTGGTTCCTCTGGGGTGTAAACCTCAGCATCTTCATTTCTGCCACATTCATCTCAGCCTCGGAATTTGCTAGTCTCTAAACTCTACTTCAACTGGTGTCCTTTGGCTGAATCCTGCATGTCGAACAGTCCAATCCGGTTGTGACAGGATTCCCAACTAAACATCTAAAAATACATTTTAGAGAAATAATCTGATTTTTATTTTATTTAAAAAAGTAGGTAGTCCTCAATTTGTCCGTCCACAATAATTCTGGCCCTATGACAAATATAGTTGGTGTCACCTGCCCTACATAACAGCAGGTCTCACTGCTGTATTTAAAATCTTCCCTTGCAATTTTCACACTCTCTTACAAATAACCTCAGACATTGCTCTCCATCCTTCTCACCTATTTCGTTTCCCCTGGACTGGAAGTATTTCATTTTTCTCATCAACTTTTACCTTCTGAACCTCTTGCAGCTTTAATATTCCACTCTCTTCTCATTTAAACACAACCATAATGTAACAGTACAACAACACCTCCCACAACCTCACTGGACCAGCACCTCCCTCTTGTCTGTCTGGTCAGCATAAACATGGATTAATGGAGTGATTTCAGAGGAAGTTCTGCTAATCAAACACGTCAGAGTAGATACAGTGAGTGTGCATTAAAAGGAAGGTTGGTGTCATTATTGAAGGCCTGTGGCTTCACTCTGGGAGGTTGAACTGCAGCCAGAGGACTTCATGGACGTTCAATCAGAAATATTGACTTCCTCTGACAGCACACTGTCATTTAATCTAAACTCCTCTCTGTTTCACTGCACCTTTTGGGCCGCTGTTTCCCTTTGTGAACCACCTGTTCTCTAATCTCTCACAGGAAAAAGCTCTTCACTACTTTTATATTATTTACCAGCTCCACTGCAGTGTTTTTCCATCCTGTCCTTTTATTTTTTTAAAAACATTTTCGAAAACGCTTTCAGGCAGGATGTGACTGATTTCATTTAACACTAAAAGCCAGTCACTCAACTGCAGAATGAGACTTGCATGTTAAATGACCCTTGTTCCGTTTACCGTGAAATATTTTTTTTGCTCCTCACTTATCTCTCCTCTGTCTTTTTCCTTAAATTCTCTCCTTTTTAACCCATTTGCCCCCTTTTTGTGATTCAAATCCAGTCATTTGCTCATTCACACATGTACACAAGGAAAGATACAAATTAAAGATCATGGTTTGATGCATGTGATGAAGAGATTGAACTTTTGAAAAGCTGCTCTTAAATTATGCAAAAACACACTTTTCTTCCCTGTAAACACTCCATTTTATTTTATTCCTCATTCTCTGCAGAACGAAGTGTTCCTCTGAGGAACAATTACTGTGATATTTAATCACATGCTGTGAATGGCAAAGCGGTCCCACATGAATGTTTCTTGATTCACCTGCAAAAGTGATATTTTGTTTTTGCTTTTACCCCTTTACCAACTTTAAAATCAAACATCAGGATCACTGGTCTCTTATGTGGAACACTGCCTGGTCCTAATAAAACAAACACTATTCATATTTACAAAACTCTGGTTCAGGTTAAAGA